AGATCATCTGGGAGGCTGGATTCTATGAGGAGAAATATGGGGTCAAGATTGGTGGAAGATCTATCAACAATCCGCGTTATGCAGATGGCACAACCCTGCTTGTTGAAACTGAGGAGAACCTGAAACGCTTGCTGCAAAGGGTCAAGGATTGCAGCCTCCAATATGGTTTGAGGCTGAATGTCAAGAAGACAAAGATTCTCGCCACTGGACCAATTGGCAGCATCAGGATGGATGATGAAGAGATTGAGATTGTTCACAGCTTTAGTTTGCTTGGCTCCACAGTCAACACTCTTGGCATCAGTAGCCAGGAAACTAAAAGACATATTGTCATGGGAAAGTCTATTGTTAGGGACCTCTCCAAAGTATTGAAGAGCAATGGTGTCTCTCTGGAGACTAAGGTGCATCTGATACAGGCCATGGTCTTTGCTATCACTTGTTATGCATCAGAGAGTTGGACAATGACTAAGAAGGATAGAAGGAGAATTGATGCCTTTGAGCTGTGGTGCTGAAGAAGAGTATTGAGGGTACCATGGACTGCTAGGAAAACAAACAGATTCATCTTGGAGAGGGTTAAGCCTGTGGGTACTTGGAGGCAAGGATTCTGAGGCTCCTTCTAACATACGTTGGACATGTTGTAAGGAGGGACCAGTCCTTGGAGAGGGACATCATGTTTGGTTGAGTGGAGGGACAGTGCAGGAGGGGAAGGTCCTCTATGAGGTGGATTGATTCAGTGACTGGGGTAATTGGGATGGGAGTGTCAGAGACAGTGCAATTGGCACAGGGCAGAGCAGAGTTTGGGGCTGTTGTACATAGGGTCGCTATGAGTTGCAAGCGACTCGACGGCACATAACAACAACATCTCATATATGTTGGTCACAAGGCCAGGAGAGACTATTCCTTAAACAAAGAGATCATGCTCAAAAGGGTGGGAGGACAGTGCAGGAGAGAAAGACCTGGGATGAGAAGGATTGATACAGTGACTGGAGTCATGGAGGTAGATGTTTCAGAATCAGTGAGATCGGCTCAGAACAGAGCAGGCTTCTGCTGCTGTGCATTGGGTCCCTATGAGTCGCAGACAACTTGATGGCACATAATAACAACAATAGAGAGAAGTTGTGCGTAATACGTTTGAAACTGATGGCAAGTCATCTACAAATATCAGGGATCTCTGATGGCGCAGACTACAACCAGTTGCGCTTCCAACCCAAAGACTTTGTGTCTGGTGTTTGGAATCCATGAGCAACTCAAACGATGAAAGATATTCAGTCTCCCCCAATGTGATTTTACAGCCTTGGATACCTGACAGAGGGCTGCTATGACTCAAAATTGACACCAAGGCAGTGAGTGAGTGAGAGTGAGTGAGTGAGTGAGTGAGTGAGAAATATTTAGTTCAAATTTAATATAAACTAGATGACAAAAACTAAAACAGACATTATTGCAAGAAGCTGTGTTGCAATCCCAAAGACACATGGATTGGATAATTCTATTGGATGCCCTGCAGGAGAAAGATGAGCAATTTCCTCCTTTGTGATTAACTGTCTCTGAATATCCACTGAAGGGTCAGCTATGGATGCTTCTGACTCAATGGTACATAATAACAAAATCTCATTTAAAATAGCGTATTGGTAAACTAATTGGTAAAAGTATACATAGCAAATCCTGCTCCTACTCAACATTTCTACACATAGTATTCAATGATATTAGTTACATTTCCCATATTGTGCCAATATTCTCATTATTTTCATTGTTTTGCTTCCACTTAGTCTCACTGCTCATTAAGCTTTTTTACCTAACCCAGTCTAATATGCATGATTATTTCTAAAGAACTTAGTATCAAAAGATTAATTTCTTTGCTTTTGAGGCAATCTTCTATTTAGTTAAAAAATTACTTCAGAGGACAAATTCTCTATAAGGGTTATAGAATGCATCAGTATAATAGTCTTAGACACTGGTTCAATAAGTCTGGATTCCTAAAGAATATAAACTATTGCTAACATTTCCCCCTTTTATCATTAAAAAAATATATTGTGCTCTGGAAGAGAATATGTAGTAGTAACCACTAATTTTTTTTTTTAAGTATCAGAGTAGAGGAGAAAGTGATTAATGGTTACAATTAGTCTTATCCTAGTTTCTTGTCTGGTTTTATATCTATCTCTTCTGCTTCAGACAAATGAAGATCAATAGATGCGTTTTAGATAATCTTTATGTGTTGTTATTATTGGAAAATATATAAAATAAAATTTAAAAATCAAACAACAATAAAATAAGTACTACCATAAAGTTGATTCCAACATGTGCCAACTTCTTGTGTACTATTGACTAGCACTGACAACATTAGTCAACCTGTGCAAATGTCACTCACATACAGTGTCAATGTTTTCCATCACCATAAACAAAAAGTCATGACATAATACTGCTTTCTGGGTTAAATCTCAACATCAAGATAGCAAAAATCCAGCCAGTAATAAATGTTGGACAGGATGTGGTGAGATAGAAACTCTTATGCACTGTTGGTGGGATTGTCAAATGGTATAACCACTCTGGAAGGCAGTTTGGTGTTTTCTCAGAAAGCTGAACATAGAAATTCTGTATGACCCAGCCATTCCCCTGGTTGGAATATACCCTGAGAAAATGAGAACTAAAGCACAAACAGAGCCTTGCACGCTAATGTTCTTAACAGCGGTACTCACCATCGCAAAGACATGGAAACAGTCCATATGTCCAACCACAACTGAATGGATTGAGAAATCATGATACATTCACACGATGGAATACTATGCAGCACACAGGAGCAATGTTTTGTAAATCATTACCTAACTTGAAAGAGACTGAAGACCATTATGCCAAGTGAACTAACCCTGACCCTAAGAACAAATACTGTATATGAACATTATTGTAGAAATAGATCACAAGAAAATTGTGTGTGAGGATCTAAGGGGGAGAAGAGGAGGAACAGAGAGGTGGGAATGGGTGGGGGAGTAATCATGGGATCATATGGTTATATGGGTGGAGGGGGGTGGAGAGGATCTGATTTGAGGGGCAATATATACAAACTTTGTAGATAAACTAGTATAAAATTAAAAAGAAAATATTTTACAAGAAATAAAAGAGAAAAAAATGGAAACAAAAATCCTCAGCACTAGGTCAAGAAACAACATCATGATAGATGGAGAAGAGATTTAAGTTGTTAAGAATTTAATTTCACTTGGGTTTATAATCAATACCTATGTTAGCTGCAATACAAAATTAAAATATTTTCCATTGGGAAAATAAGCTGTCAAGGCACTCTCCAAGTGCTAGGGAGCAACAATGCCAATTTAAAAACTAACGTTCACCTTATCCAAGTCATGGTTCTTTCAATGTCAATGAATAAGAATTATAAAAAAGAACCAACATTTTTTAATTATGGTGTTGGAGAAGATGACTGAATATCCCATTGACTGCCGAAAGAACAAATAAATCTATCTGAGAGGTGCAATCAGGGTTCTCTTCAGAGGCAAGGATGGTGACACTTGGTCTCACATACTTCGTGCATGTTTTCAGGAGAAATCAGTCCTTGAAAAGAGATATCGTTCTTGTAAAAGTGGGGAGGTGAAGAAAGAAAGGAAGACCCCAGACCAGATGAGTTGACACAGTGATAGTAGCAATCGGCTCATGCATATCCGAAATTTTAAGGATGGCACAGGATAGGACAAGGTTATGATCTATAATGCACAGGTTCACTATGAGTTGTATTTGACTCGATGGCACATAATAGTAACAACATCTAGGAAATGTTGCCCTCTCTCCCCTCCTCACACCTTTAGTAACCATCAGGGAACAGCATTTTTACCTCTTCTTGCCTTTCCATAAAAATGTGATCACATAATATTTGTTCTTTTGTGATTTACTTGTATCGTTCAATATAATGTCCTCCAAATTAATTCATTTATGACTCAGAAACTAATCTTTTCTTTATAAAGGAAAGCATTTCATTGCACGCAGGTACCACATTTTGTTTATTCATTTGTATGCTAATGGTTGTTTTTCAATATATTGTTATTATTATAAACGATGATGCAACGAAAATTGAAGTAAATATTTCTATTCATATCTGTGTCATATGGCAATCCTATTTTTTGAATTTTGAGTAATTACCACATTTTTCATAGTGGATAGGATTCCAAACTTTTCACATTCTCACTAATTTTTTTCCTATTTAAAATTATTGGTATTTTAGTAGAAGTGATATATTACCTAATTACAAGTTATATAATATCTTAAAAATGAGTTGACTTGCACTTTTCTAATGGGGGTTCTGGTGGTCAAGTCACCAGGGAGTTGTGCTGTCAAGTTAAAGACTTGTAGTTCAAATCTACCATCTGCTCCCTGGGAGAGAAATGGGTAATAACCTCGTAGTTGATTTACAGCCTCTAGAAACTTGCTTGAGAGTCAGCTACAGTGGCTTCTGACTTAATGGCAATGAGACTGACCAACAGCAAAGAATGTCTTTTCATTGTCTTCATTGAGTGCTTAAATATTTTCTTTCATGATGAACTGTTTATTTCCTTAGTGCATCTTGAACTGAATTGTCTTTTTGTTGTTAAATTATTAATTTAATATTTTTTTTAATGTTAAGTAAAAGGCTGATGACATGAAATTAGCAGATCTTGTAAAATTCTAACTCTAACAATGTGGTGAGAATTTTAACACACTTGCCTTTCAAGTACTTAAATTACATCCTGTGGAAATTTTAGAATGTTAAAGAAATGAAATTCCAAAAAGTCTCGGTAATAGTTGGCCTAAATTTTAGTGATTTTTCCCCCAGTACAACAACATAGAAGACTTCTAATAGGGCATAAATTATCTAAAAAAGATGAGAAAAGCTGTTCCTTGTGAAGGTGTAAGATAATGGAAAGTCTAATGAAAAATGTGAAATTCTTTTTGTGTTTGTTATTATGTAAATTTACCAACATGTAAAAATGTGTAATTGTATCTCTTTTCTAAAATTATCTCTTTAGGCATTAAAATTCAAAATATTGGTTAAAAACAAGAAAATAGACATGTTAAAAGATACCCATGAAAAGAAACATTCTACTAAGTATGACCAAGTAGAGGAATCTGAAGATGAGTCAGAGGTAGAAGATGAGGATGACGGAACATCCCAGACTAGTTTAGTAAAAGACAACTCAGAGGAACAAGAGGAAAAATACAAAACAGGATCAAAGGACGTACTCATTCCCAAAAAGAAGGTGAGAGGTGGAAATCTTATAAGGGACGAAAATTCCAATTTTCTCCTTATTCTTGGGATTTTTTTCAAAAATGGAAAGGAAAAGTATTCCCCTCTGTAAACAGCTTTAATTATTTAAAATTTATTTGGAAAAAATAAACCTGGCAGAAGGTATCTCAAAAGTTGCTATCTGTTTTTCTATCTAAGGTTTGGAAAACCTTTTTCTTCTTTGTTATTGTTCTTGTTGTTGAGTAATGTTGAGTTGGAACTGACTCATAGCTAACCCTCTGACAGATCTTCAGAGGCAGTTAATCTCTAAGGAGATGGTCCATCTTCTCCAGCAGAGCAGATGATGTGCCTTCGGAGGGCAGTACAGATTTTTACCACAGACAAATATTTAATATGCTCTCTTAGCTCTGGTGGCCTAGTAAGAAGGAGCTGCCCTGCAATCCTGAAAGCATGCAGTTGAAATCCACCAGTTGCTCCATGGAAGAAGGATAAGTAATCTCATGAGTTTAAGTGCCTCTGAGAACTTGCTGGAGGGTCAGCTATGGGTTGTTTCTGCCTGTGTACACGATAACACATATACGCTAGGCAATGTACACAATACAAAAGATATCTAGAGGGAAAATATAGTGTCTTTACAAAAAAACAAAACAACAAACCAGAAAACAAAAAAAACCCCTGGAAATATATTTCCTTATGATTAAAATTTATAAACTTACCTAATTCATTAGGACAAACTGACGTCTTTGAGAGAGAAGAAATAATTGTCATTCTTAAATCTTAATATACTACTTTGGGTTTTAGAGTTAGAGTATCTCATATTAACATCAAAGACTAGACCAAAAAAAGGTAACAACTGTAAGTTGATTAAAACATTTTGTAAAGAGATAAACTTGTGAAAAGAATCATTACATTAAAAGTCTGGTTTCTTTATTGGAAAAGAATGTTTAAAATAACTAGTGCCAAAACATGAAATCACTATATTTTATGAAATTACTTAAACTCACTGTATTTTTTAGAAAAGAAAGCTGAAATTATCTCTGGCCCTATCAGACCTTGTCATTTATACTAAAGCTATGAAGTTCAAAAGCTTTGAATATTCAAGATTGCACCAACGATTTAATGAATCTACCTCTATTGGAGAGAAAAAAGCCCGGAAATTTTTAAAGCTGAGAGGTACACTCTTTTGATTCATATAAATTAAATATTTGAACAGTTATTGTCATTGCTAACGTGACAATATTGGTCACTGATACTTATAAATTTTAACATATTTAATAGAATTTTTAAAAGTCACATGCTCAGAACTATGCCATTTTACCTGGGGATGCAGAATATGTAGCTTATTCTTGGGCTGTGGTTGATTGATAGGGGAGAGCAGTGAATAACAAAGCTTCAAAGAGCAGACAAAGCCCCAGTAAACCCAACTAGTAACTGTTAAATTAATTCTGACACATAATAACACGGTGTATACCATGATAGAACTGTGTGTGGTCTCTAGGTTTTTAATCACTGATTTTTCGGAAGCTAGTAGCCAAGAATTTTTCTGAGAAGCTTCTATATGGACACAAACTTCTAGCTTTTTTGCTGGTTTACAGTACATAGTAGGTAGCACAAGGATGAGACCACAGCCTTTCTGAAACTGAGGAGGACCTAAAGTTTTCTGCAGAAGGTCAAGGACTGCAGTCTTCAACATAGATTGAAGCTCAAAGCCAAGAAAACAAAGATTTTCATCACTGGGCCAATTGGCAGAACCATCATAAATGATTGAGACTGTTTACAATTTCATCTTGCTCAGATCCACAATTAACTTCCTTGTCACCAGCAATCAGGAAATCAAAAGAATTGTATTGGGATAATCTGCTGTCTGGAACATCTCCAGAGAGCTGAAGAGGAACAATGACAGTCTAGAGACTATGTCAGTCTTCACAATCATTAGATATGCATCAAAGAACTGGAAAATTACTAAAGAATGACAAAAGAACCGATGCCTTTGAATTGAAGTGCTGAAGAAGAGTACTGAACATACTATGGACTGCCAAGAGAGCAAACACGTCTGTCCTGCAGAAGGTGAAACCAGATTGCTCATTGGAGGAAAGGAGTGTGGAGCTCTGGCTTACATTCTTTGGTCATGTTGGTAGCAGAGACCAGTTCTTGGAAAAAGACATGCTTGGAAAGGTAGAGGATCTTCGCAAGAGAGGAAGACCCTAGATTAGATGGATTAACACAGTAACTGGGGTAATGGGAATAGGTGTGTTGGAGATAGTGAGATTGGCTCAGGATAGGGTAGTGTTCAGAGATATTGTTCATAAGGTCATTATGAATTGCAGTTGATTTGATGACACATAACAACCATAACAAGGAAATAGTGGACTTTATGGGGTTAGCTCACATCCCAATAGGCAGAACTCATTAGTTCCATTGTTGTGTACCATAGAGATGATCTAAACTCTTAGCAACCCTATATGACAGAGTGGAATTGCTACACATGGCTTTCTAAGGGGCTTTAATGATGCAGAGATACTAGACTGAAATGTCAGAGATTCTAGCTGATAAGTCAGAGATTCTGAAAGAGGAAGATATGACAATCTGTTTTGTATACATGGTAGCTTTGGAGACTTTCTTTGGAGACTTGATGGGATGACTCAGTTTATTCCAGAGGGCCTCTATTAGTTAGAATCAACAGCTAGAATCTACAGTTAGAATTGACATGGTTTTTAAATTTTTCTGGAAACACACTGACAAGCCTTTCTCTTCCCAATCTCTCAGCAAGGAGTTGAGTGAGTGATGATTGAATCACAAGACTCCTTTCAATAGAGTGCACTCATTCACTTAACTGCTTTGGAATAGGTTCTCATCCTCCATCGAGTTGCTGAGGCTAATCACAATGGGAGAAGACTGTCCAACTTTCTCCTGTACAGCTGCTAGTGAATTTGAAGCTCCAGAGACAAGTAACCATTTGGTTCACAGCTCTACTTTTACTACGGACTACACCATCAGAGTACCTTCATCAGACTTAGAGGCTTTATGTCCAAGGTGAAAGACAGGGAGGAATGCCATCTAGGCTAGAGCACCAGATGGTTTTCCTGAATGTACGTCTTTGCACAATGTACAGATGTGCAACCATGTTTGATAGTATTCAGTCTCTAACTCTTACTTTTACTCTCATAGTAAATTCAGAAAAAGTAGAAGTAAAGATACAACAATGATTATTACTGAATAATAAATTTATATATGATTTTATTTCTGACCTGTTTTTCTCATTTTTCTAATGAAACTATTTGTAGTAACAGGACATACTTCCTTTATAAAGATTCAATAACATATAAGGAAAATCACACATTGTTGGGACTTCTTAAAGATCATTCATGGTTGTTACATTTTTGTTGTTATTGTGAAAGTCACATTGGAACTGACTCATAGCTGCCCTCCAGCAGGTTTTCAGAGGCAGTAAATTTCACAAGGGGTTATTGTCCATCTTTCTTTTGTGGAGAATCTGGTGGATACAAACTTCCATGACTCAGGGTTGGCAGCATAGCTCATTATCACTTGAGCACCAGCGATCCCTTATTACATTGTTGTTGTGTACCTGTGAGTCAGAACCAACCCACAGGTGACCCTCCAGTGGGTTTTCAGAGGCAGTAAATTGTGTGGGAGTTGATTACCCATCTTTCTCCCACAGAAGAACTGATGGATTTGAAAAATTTACCTTTGCATTGTTTGTGCAATTCCTTACCACTAAACCATCATCTAATAAAAATTAAGATCCAAAAGAGTAAGTTCTTTACTTGGGCATAAATGTCTAATTTCAGCCTGAAAAAGACAGCATACCTTGGACAATATGGTGCATTTGTATATGGATGATTTCCAAATAAACTTTCTCTCAAAGAGTGCACATATTTTTATTTATTTTATTAAAAATGAAATTCTTTTTAATATGACTTAAGTGAAAGTTAAAACAGTAAATCAGTTTTATATTCAACAATTCAGATGAGTTATGCTTTAGGACATTGTGTTTCATGGCTGCCCTCACATTGGAGCATTATTTTTTCTACTTCTTCTTGGAGTTTCCCATTTCCATTCACCCTTATTTCTTGTCTCTACCTGACTTCTAGGCTTTATCCCTGGACAAATTTTAAATTTGTCTTATTGATTTTTCTAAGGATAGCTTCATTCTCTGTTGATCACTTTTTAGACTGTCTATGGTTGAACTTATCAAGTGTGTTAATTGTGGGTTCAAGCAAGATCACGCTGTTAACAGTTTCAATCTTGTCTCCATTCATCACGATGTTGCCTATTGGTCTACTGATAAGAATTTTTTCATTTCTGGACATTGAGATGCAATCCATGCCAAAGGCTGAATTGTATGATCATCTGCAACAAGTGCTTCAAGCCCTCCTCATTTTCAGCAAGCAAGGTTGTATCATCTGTATAATGTAAATTATTGATGCCTTTAAGCTGTTGTGATAGAGATGAGCACTGAACATCCTATGGATGGGCAGATATGTCTTAGAGAGGGTCTAACTGGAGTACTCCTTGGAGGCAGGAGTGATGAAGCTTCACCTCAAATACTTTGGGTATGTTGCTAGGAGAGGCCATTGATGCTGGGAAGGGTGGAGGGTCAGCAAAGGAGAGAAAGAACCTCAAAACCAAGTGGATTGATGTTGTGACTGCCACAAAGTGTGAAGATGGCACAGGATAGAACAGGGTTCATATCTTTTGTTCATAAGGTCAATATGAGTTATACTTGACTCAATGGCACCTACCACTGCCACCACCACCACCATCAACAACAATGGTTTAACTATTTATTGAGTCATAGGAATGATTCTCGTTCTGTGCTTAAAGGATGATTAACAGTCTTACTTAGTCTCAGCAATTCCACTAGACTAATAACTCTGTTCTTTATATGCCTCTGAGTTTTGCTTCATATTTTTATTCCACTCTACCAGGGGTCTTCTATCTTGATCCTTTTCAGAGTGACCAGGAAGGATAGTTGGGCATCAGGGAGTTCTTCTGGTATCTGGGTTGTAAAACCTGAGATTCATGTGGTTCATTAATTCATTCGACTAATAGACTTTGGCTTTCTTCACTTCTCTTTGCTCTGAATGAGGAGAGACCAATAGTTGCACCCTAGATGAGCAGTTGAAAGCTTTTAACATCCTAGTAATTACTCACACCTAATTTCCTTTTTAAAATATGAGGACAAATCCAACCATCTCATACCCAATTGTGAGCAACAGACATCAACCAAAACCAGGAAACACAACTAAATGGCAACCAAAACAGAAAACACAACTTTGTAGAAACCAGCTGCTCCACTCATCTTCCCAAACTTTAAAATAGCCCCAAACTGGCAACCAAATGCTTCTTCACATTAGGGTCATAACCAGCCCCAAACTGAGTTTGTTTTCAGTCAAACATTCTACTAGGTAGTATAGCACTGGTCTGTCAATTTGATGTAACTCGAAGTTGCTGTGATGTTAAACACTATGACACCAATGTGTCAAATGTGATAACAGTTACCCATGGTGAACAGTGTTTGTTGGTGCTCCCATATTAATAAAACAGGCTTGGAAGCAGGAGTGGCATATACTTCCAAAACAGCTTACCCCAGAAACTCTATGAACTTGGAGAAGTGACGAAATTTATACATGTGTTCAGGCCTTTCATTCATAGGGTCGCTATGAGTCGTCATGACTTGATAGCACTCAACAACAACAAGTCATTACGCACCAAGTTAGAATGTAGAAGACTCTTTGTAGATTCCAAAGTTTCTATATGCCAATGACTTCCAAAGCCCCTGAGATTATAGTCTTAAACTTCCTCCCAAGGCTAGTGTCTAATTTCCTTATGGTGTTTGGTTATGGTAAAACATCAAACCTCTGTGGTCATAGGCATATTTTAATGCTGACCATCTTTCATAATTAAGTTAAACTATTGATTTAAGAAGCCTGTAGGGAATACTTTTCATTTATGATTTAAAGTTTATATAGTACAACAGTTTTGGGAATTCATCCAGCTTCGATATTTCCAAAAGATTGGGAATCCATGAGCATTTGGAAATACGTTCTGTATTTTTCTCCTTCTGATCAGGAATGTTCTATAGAATCTGTGGTTCAAATATTGAACAATGGTAATTGAGGACCATATAAGCTCGCCTGGACTCCTAGAAAAGGGGACAGTTGTTCATGGAGGCATTTAACAACACTTCCAATTTCTTCCTCTTATTATTGACTTTCCTCCTTCCTCACTTTAGGAGAATAGAGACCAATTGTCGTAATTTAGCCCTTAAAATCTACCACAAATGAACTACTAGCTAGAATAGAATGGAATTTTTGAACATGTTAATAGACTTAATTGTAACTTTTACATGGTAATGAGTACTAGCAGCCAGGAAATCAAGAGAAAAATTTCATTGGGAAAGTCAGCTTTCAGGGACCTCTCCAGAGTACTGAAGAGCAACAGTGTCAGTCTGGAGACTAAGGTGCTCCTTATCTGGGCTATAGTCTTCGCAATTGCATGCTATATATCAGAGAGCTGGATGATGATTAGGGATGATAGAGAATTGATGCCTTTGAGCTGTGGTGCTGGAGAAGAGTGTTGTATATACCATGGACTGCTACAAGAACAAAAAGGTTTGTCCTAGAGAGAGTGAAGCCGAGATGCTCCTTGGAGTCAAGGATACTGAAGCTTCATCTGACATACTTTAGGCATGTTGCAAGGAGGAACCAGTCTTTGGAGAGGGACATTATGTTTGGGAGAGTCCAAGGACAGTGCAGGAGAGGAAGATCCTTGATGAGATGGATTGATTCAGTCATTGAGATAGTGGGAGTAGGTATGTCAGAGACAATGTTGTTGGCACAGGATAGAACAGGGTTTAGGGCTCATATACACAGGGCTGCAATGAGTCGCAAATGACAAGATGGCACATAACAACAACAGTGGTTACCAAAGAATAGTATTTAGAGTGAGAATGGCAATGATTCTGTAGTATTTTAGTCAGAAAGTAAAGGACTTATATAGTTCAATCTCTATGCTGAGCATTCACTTGAGAAACTGGGCTTTATGAAAATGAGTGTGGATGAGGATTGGAGGAAGACTCATTAGGAATCTGGATTATGAAGATGACATCTTTCTTGCTGAAAGTGAGGAGGACTTGAAGATCAAAGAAAACATAGTCTTTTACATGTATTACATCTCAATATCAAGAAAAAATTCTCATCACTAGATAAAAAAGCAATATAGTAATAGATGGAGAAAAAAAATTAAATTAACAATTTCATCTTGAATCAACACCGTTGTTACAAGGAGTTAAGAAACCCAAAGATGTGTTATATTGGGAAAATCTGTTGTCAAGATCTCTCTAAAGTATTAAGAAGCACCTGATTCAAGCCGTAGTCTTTTAAATCACTTGCTATGCTTTTGAAAGTTGGACAGTAAGGATGACAGAAGAAGAATCGATGTGTATGAAAAAGAGTATTTAATATTCCATGGATAGTAAAAAAGACAAGTGTGTCTTGGAGGAAGTACAACTAAGGCACTCCTTATAGGCGAGGATATCAAAGCTTGCACTTACATACTTGGGACATCATGTTAGAAAAGGTACAGGATCCACAAAAGAGAGGAAGACCTTCAGAGAGGTAGACTGACGCAGAGACTGCAAAAATGGGCTCAAATATATTGGAGATGATGAGAATAGCACAGGATATGGCAAGATTGATTTGCTTCATACGGTTGCTACGAGTCATAGTCATAGTCTTGGATGACACCCAAGAACAACAACAACATTGTCTATTGATGCTTTTGGATTGTCAGGTTGGTTGGAAGTATTAAATATCCTTTGGATTAATAAAAGAACAAACAAAACTCCCTTAGAGGACATGCAAACAGAGTTACTCCTAAGAGGCTCATTTACTTGTGCCTGTTGTCAGGAGGGACTAACCCCTAGGGGGGAGAATCATGCTGAGAAAAGTAGAGAATTAGCTAAAGAGAGGAAAAATCTCAATGAGATGGATTGACACAGTGACTGCAATAAGGGGTTTAACATGGCTGAGAATGGTTGATTGTGAAGATGACAAAGGATAGGACAAAGTTTAAATATGTTTATAATTATTAGTCACAGTTGGCTTAATGACACCTACTAACATAAAACAGTAAGTGTTTTTCCCATCACTTGTCCTCTAGTGAGTAGGGAATTGTGCTGCAAGCTCAAGCCCAACTGTGGGCAATTTGAATCCACTGTCTTCTATGTCCTCCTATGTAATTTATAGCCTCTGAAACCCCACTGGAGGAACAGCTAGGAGTTGATTCCAACTTAATGTGAGAGCGAGAAAGAGAGCAAGACAGAGATAATGAAAGGGGTGGGGAAAGGGAGAGAGGGAGGTGGAAAGAAAGATTTTTGAAAGACCTCACTATTAGCAGAAATGGTTGCAGGAACACTATATGCTTATTATAAGAAGAATCTTGGAAAAGCATAAAATATTTTAAAATAAATATTTTAAAGATTTAAAAATTTAAAGATGTCTAATAGTAAAAGATGCTAGAGTCAAACTGCAGCTGACTTAAATACGATACAAATAGACATTTATAAATAATATATAGAGATTTAAGTACATTATATACATCTGTCTGCATATGTATATATAAACATATATATGCATGCATATATGAATATATTCTACAGTATGGAACCATTTTCTCAATAATGAAGAACTTTGAAGTAATTAGAAGTCCTGGGAGATAGTGAGGGGGTTTTGTTTTGTTTTGTTTTTGTAAATGGAGGGGTGCAAACAGATCATGAATAAGTTTTTGAAGAATTTGTTAGAGTGAGGAGTTGGGAACAGAACTGCATAATTATAAGTTTCCTTCAACTCTGAGAAGCTATAAATTATTCAACTTGATTAATTTGGTTTGCATTATAGAGCTTTATATCATTTACATGTGATTCTACTTTTCTGTGATAGGTCAACAGGAAAAGAACAAAATTGAAGAAATAGGCTGTTTTGAGGAAAAAAATGGAAATATTTTATTTTGGAATTTTACATACTTACAGATCAAAGTAAAATTAATTTGTAAAAAGATAATAAGTACTTTAATTAATTTTCATCTCAAATAAATTAATAGTATACATGTTGTTGTTGTTACATACTGTCGAGTCACCTGTGACTTATACCTGTCCTATTTACAACAGCCCTAAACCCTGCTCTATCTTGTGCCAATTTCACTGTATCTGACACACCTACCCTCTATACCCCAGTCACTGAATCAATCCATCTCATTGAGAGTCTTCCTCTCCTGTGCTGTCCCTCCACCCTCCCAAGCATAACATCCCTCTCCAAGGACTGTTCCCTCCTTGCAATATGTCCAAAGTATGACAGACAAAGCTTCGGAATCCTTGCCTCCAAGGAGCAGCCTGGTTTCATCCTCCCCAGGGCAAACTTTTTTGTTCTCTTAGCAGTCCATGGTATATTCAGTTCTCTTCTCCAACACCACAGCTCAAAGGCATCAATTCTCCTTCAATCATCCGTAGTCATTGTCCAGCTTTCTGACGCAAAGCAAGTGATTGTAAAGATCATGCTCTGTATCAGGTGCGCCTTATTCATAAATTGTATTTTTTTAACATCAGATTATACTGTCAAACATAAAGGTCTGGATTTATTTTGAAACCCATATATTGCACATATTGTTAAGGTTGAGCATAACAAAATATGATAGATATACATAATTTATAGTATATAAAATAGTAGGCAATTTCATTTTTGTTGGAATTATTTCTCTGTGCTTAATTTTTTTTCTTTAGCAAAAGAATTTATTATACATACTCAGAGATTCATTACCAGAATATATCCCAAAGCAACAAGAACAACCTCTTCTAATTTTAATCCTCAAGACTTCTGGAACGTAGGTTGTCAAATGGGTATGTTATTTAAAATACTATTTGCAAAAGTAAAAGAAAGTAAACTTTGTTCCGTTTTGGGGTTGTTTTAAAAATTTTTTTATACTTTTGAAGATGTTTCCTGTAAAACATGATTTTCAAGAGCAGGCAATAATAGAGAATCACTAGTTTTGGGGGTGGAATTCATGTCTGAATGACTTACAGGGGACAAATCTAGGTGAGGAGTCAGTATGAGATACAAATGGAGACAATTGAGGAAAGGAAACCAAAAATAAAGGAAAGGAGATATTTATTATCAAGTTATTTTACTAGAAATATGTATTTAAATAGTTGCCAAATCATTTTACCTTTACCTTTTATGCTTTATACTAGCTTCTATATTAGTGCAAGATACTATATGGTTGAACCTTGAAACTATTAAATGGAATAAAATAAATCAGTTATAAAATGATCTCACTAACAGGAAATGTCTAGGAGATATAATTCTATAGAAACTAAGATTCAGTAGTGGTTTCTAGGGTAGAAGAGAGCTCTTGTGGCCTACTGGTAACAAGTTGCATTGAAATTCCAAAGGCATAGAAAGCAAACAATAACAGTGTGAATAGGAGGTAGTGTTAAGAAGCTGTGCTGCAGGTGGTTCAAATACATCAACAGCTCTGTGGGGGAAGGATGGGTCTTCTCCTATGTATGATTTTACTGCCACTGAAAACTCACTGGAGGGTTAGATATGGGTCAATTCTGACTCAATGGTACACAACAACAATATATATTTACATGTACTGTAACATGGGTACCTTGGTGATCTTAGCGGACGGAGAGTTGTGCTACCAACACAAGGGCAAACAGTTTGAATTTACCAGTTACTCTATGGAGCAAGATGGGCAAATCTCTTCCAGTACAATTTATAGTCTCTGAATATATGCTGGTGGGTCAAATGTAGATCTGTTTTGACTTGACAGCCATGAATTACAACCTAGATGGAGTTTTTGTGGTCTAGCAGCAACGAGTTGCTCTAGCTACCCAAAGTCATGTGGTTCCAATCCATTGAGCTGCTCTGGTGAAAGATGGACAATCTCCTACAGTATAATTTCATAATTCAGAAAATCCATTGGAGGGTTAGCTATGAGTCAGTTTCAACTCAGTAATGTTGTTGTTATTGTTGTTGTTATGTGCTGCCAAGTTGCCTGAGACTCATAGCAACCCTATGTGCAACAGCCCTAAACCCTGCTCTATCCCTTGCCAATCTTATTGTCTCTGACACACCTACCCCTATTACCCCAGTCACTGAATCAATCCATCTCATCGAGGGTCTTCCTCTCCTGCGCTGCCCCTCCACCTTCCCAAACATGACATCCCTCTCCAAGAATTGGTCCCTCCTTGCAACATGTCCAAAGTATGCGAGACAGTTTCAGAATCATTGCTTCCAAGGAGCAGTCTGGCTTCACCCTCTCTGGGATGAATCAGTTTGTTATCCTAGCAGTCCATGGTATATTCAATACCCTTTTCCAGAACAACAGCTCAAAGGTTTCAACTTTCCTTATTTCATCCCTAGTCATTGTCCAGTTCTCTATGCATAGCAAGTAATTGCAAAGACAATGACCTGTATCAGGTACACGTTAGTCTCCAGACTGACACTGTTGCTCTTCAGTACTTTGGAGAGGTCTCTTACAGCAGACTTTCCCATGGCTTTTTGTCTTTTATTTTCCTGTCTGCTGATATCAAGAATGTTGATTGTAGACTCAAGCAAATTGAAGCTGTCAACAATATCAATCTCTCACCATCCATCCTCATGTTGTCAATCGGCCCAGTGGTGAGAATCTTTGTTTTCTTGATGTTGAGCTTCAATCCATAGTGAAAGCTGCAGTCTTTGTCCTTCTGCAGCAAGTACTTCATGTCCTCCTCTGTTTCAGCACGCAGGGTTGTGTCATCTGCATAACGAAAATTGTTGATGAGTCTACCACGAGTCCTGATGCCACACTTCTCGTAGAGCCCGGCTTCCTGGATAACCTGTTCTGCATATAGATTGAAAAGATATAGAGATAGGACACATCTATGATGCACACCTTTCCCAATTTTGAAATTTTCAGTGTTCCCAATTTTCAGTGTTTTCTTGCTCTGTTCTGACAACTACCTCCTGGTCCAAGTATAGGTTTCACATAAGCATAATCAACTGTTCTGGGATTGCCATTCTTCTCAGAGTCAGCCATAGTTTGTTGTGATCCACATAGTCAAAGCCTTTGCATAGTCAATGAACATAGACAGTCCTCTGGTACTTTCTGCTTTCAGCGAAGATCTGACATTAGCTATAATATCTGACATTTAGCTATAATATACCTAGTGCCATGGCCTCTTCTAAATCCAGCCTGGACTTCTGGCAGTTTTCTGTTGATGTGCTGTTCCAGGCTTTTTTTTAAAATAATATTCAGCAGAATCTTGCTTGCATGTGATATCACTGATACTGTTTGATAATTTCCACACACTATTGGTTAGCCTTAACAACACATAACAAAAACAACATTGATTACAAAATGACAAATGCATATATATATATATAATGATATACATATATAATGATATATATAATGATATATATCATTATATATATATTTAATAGATATATCCATGCGTTATACATATATATTGAATATATATATATATACATGCATTATATATATATTGAATATATATACACATGCATTGTAATTGATGTTGATTTTGTTATGTGCTGTTAAGGCAAACCGATAGAGTGTGGAAATTATGAAACAGTATCATTGATATCACATACAAGCAAGATATAGTCTTTGCAATTATGTGCTATGCATCGGAGAGCTGGACAGTGAATAAGGATGAGAGGAGAATTGATGCCTTTGAGCTGTGGTTCTGGAGAAGAGTGTTAAATATACCATGGACTGCTAGGAGAACAAACAGGTTTGCCCTGGAGAGGATGAAGCCAGAATGCTCCTTGGAGTCAAGGATTCTGAAGCTTTGTCTGACATACTTTGGGCATGTTGCAAGGAGGGACTGGTCCTTGGAGAGGGACGTCATGTTTGGGAGAGTGGAGGGACAGCACAGGAGAGGAAGATCCTCCATGAGATGGATCCTGTGAGTGGAGTGGTGGGAATGTGTGTTTGAGATGGCAAGGTTGGCACAGGATAGAATGGCATTTAGGGCTCTTGTACATAGGATTGCTATGAGTCACAAGCGACTTGGTGACACATAATAACAACAACAATGTATGTTAACCAGGCTTTTTAAAAAAATAATTTTATATTAGTTTACATAGAAAGTTCATGTTTTATAAAATTAATCATCATTGAACTATCCACCATTATCTTGTCTTTACAGACTCCCACTCTTATCTTTTCTGTTTTCTTTACCCATCCCTCCTTCCCCCCACGAAATTTTGCAACCCTGTGATTTTCTACCTGCCCATCCTCAACTCTCTGCTCCCACTCTTCCCCCTTGAATACTCATACACTTTTCACCAGTTATAATTCTATTTCTACAACAATAGTTTTTTTGCAGTATTTGTCCTTAAGAGACTGAGTTAATTCACTCAGCATAATGCTCTCTGTTCAGTTCCTCCCAAGTTAGGAAGTGATTTACAAAATCACTGTTCCTGAGTTCTGTATAGCACTCCATCATGTGAATATACAACAACTTCTCAATTCATTCAGTTGTGGTTGGACATTTGGGCTGTTTTCATGTACTTGTGTTTGTGAAATGTTACTATGAACATTGGTATACACATCTCTGTTTCTGTCTCAGTTCTAATTATTTCGGGATATATTCTTAGCAGTGGAACAGCTGTGTCATGTGGAATTTCTATGTTGAGCTTTTTAGGAAACACCATTCTGCCTTCCAGAGCGGTTGCACCATTTTAAAATCCCATCAACAGTGTATGAGAGTTCCTATCACTCCGCTTCCTCTCAAGATTTAGCATTCGCTGTCCTGTTTAACTTTGCTATTGTTACTGGGCTGAGATGATATCTCATTGTGGTTTTGATTTGCATGTCTTATACTGACAGTGATTTTAAGTATTTCTTCATGTATCCATTGGCCATCTGAATATCTTTCTCTGTGAAAAGCCTTTACATATCTTTTGCCTGTTTTGTGTAATTGTGTTATCGGTGTTTTTCCTATGGAGGCCTTGTAGGACTCTGTAAATTATCCTTGTCTGAGTTGGTAATGCCAAATGTTTTTCCAAGTCAGTAAGTTTTCTTTTCACCCTACTGGGAAAAGTTTTTTGATGCACACAGGTATTTAATCTTTAGAATGCTTAAGATAATATACATTGTTCTTAATTTTCATCCAAGTCGTCTTTATTCTAAAGCTGAACAGCTATCACTAATCAGTCAGAAAGCACTGGGTATTAATTCTGCTACTTAATGGGGAGAGACCTATATCTTTGAGGGGAGTGGTAAAGTGAGGTTATTTGGGACTGGTATTGGTACTGAATAATACAGTGTCTACCAAACCATGAAAACATACTTCTATATTTTAATAACTAGTTTTTCACCCTGCACATTATTTCTCCTCAAGTGACAATACCTCTTTGAACCTGAAAGAATAATATAGTTGGTACTTTCTATTTCCTTCGTTTATTGTGCTGATTTTATTTTACAATTACAATGTTTTTTTTTATTTATCTGGCATATATGTTGCTAGTTTATAGCATGTATTATCATTTTTAGATTTTTCTTAAGCTTTAAAATAATTTAACATATAGATTAAGTTTTAAAACTCACTTTCACATGCTTATTTAGACATGGCAAGAGAAATATATTTTAAATCTATGAATTATTGGGCTAAGAACATTTTTTCAGAGAATTATTTAACTGTACTTTTTAAACTATACTATTTTCTAAAAATATAAAAATAATTTTTCCCCATAGTGGCCTTAAATTTCCAGACTCCTGGTCTGCCTATGGATCTACAAATTGGAAAATTTTTGGACAATGGTGGTTCTGGATATGTTCTGAAACCACATTTCTTAAGAGACATAAACTTAAAGTTTGATCCAAGTGAATCATTCCGAGTCACTAAACCAATTACACTTACAATAAGGGTAAGTTTAATTATGTTTTCCTCCTTATATTGTTATTTGGACATATTAAGTATACTATAAATTATTGTTTTTGATGATATTAGTTTTTCCATAATTATTTATAAAGCTTTCAAAATCTTTTCAGCCACTATAAGGGGATGGAATTTCAGCATTCTTTTATATCTGAAATTATTTTTCTGTTGACTTCTTTGCATAAATTACCTGAGTGTGATTGGAAATATTGGCTCTAAATCCTTTTCCTTTCAAATGTCTATTTATATTATGCCACTGTTGTTATGGCTTTAATAGGAAGACTATTAATTGTGGAGAAGTCTTATATCTACAAAATCTATTTTGTGATTGTCCTGCTTTCCCTCAACTTGTAAAAAAAAATTACTAATCAATTCTAGGATTTGTTAATACACTTTTGCTTGCAGAAATTGAAATCTTAAACCAATTATAAGATCAAAGACTACAACCTTCAATATGGGTTATATCTCAACATCAGGAAAACACATTCTCACAACTAGATCTAAACACAACATCATGAGAAATTGAGAAAATATTGACATCAGTAACTTTTTTTGCTTGGACCCACAATCAACACTCATGTATAACAATGAAAAAAAAATCAAAAGACATGTTGCAATTGGCAAAATTTGCTGCAAGAACCTCTTTGTAGTACTAGAGAGCAAAGAATGTCACTTAAAAGACTAAAGTGTTTCAGAAGACTGAAGAAGAATTGATGCTTTTAAATTATGATGTTGCAGAGTTCTGAAACTGCCAAAAGAACAAACAAATCTAGAGAAAGTAAAACCAAAGTGCTTCTTAAGAGGCAAGGAGGGTGAAATTTCATCCCACATACTTTGAACAAATTGCACTGTTTTTGTTGTATACTATCTAATAAGAACCAACTCATAGCTGACCCTCTAGAGAGTTTCCAGAGGCAGTAAATCACATGTGAGATTGCCCTTCTATACCCTATGGAGCAGCTGGTGCATTCAAACCACGTACCTTTGTGTTGTCAGCACAATTCCTTACCACTAAGCCACCAGACTCCCTCAGGAGACACCAGACATTGGAAAAAGACTTGGAAAAGTAGAGAACAAATGGAAAAGAACCTCAATGAGATGGGTTGACACAGTGACAACAATGGACTACAATGGAACATGGGAGTTATAATGAGAATAGTGTAGGATAAGGCAAAGTGATGTACTTTATGACATTCAATAACAGCAACAATTTCCAGAATTAGTTGTTACACTTCATAGTCTTTTCTTCAATTATGTATTTGAATTTCATTTTCTTATCTGGAAATTTTAAGTATTCCATATTTTTCATATATATATATATATATATATACACACTCTGTGTCCATTTATTTGTGCCAATGTTAGCACTTACTTCTTTTCTTTGCACTTTGAAAGAGTATTTAATATATTTTTTGCTATATTGATGATCCAAGGTCTGCAGCTGATTTTATATTTTATTGATTCTAGTGTGGATCTGAAATTGTCTCTCCCATTATTAGTTCATTCCTCTCATTTTTATTTACTTCATATTGCTTCTTTTTTATTTCTGTCTGTGTCATATCCAGTAACTTCTCCCTCAGGGAATTCTCTTATTATTTCATCTCTTGTTTTATTGTATCATTGTGTAATTTTATTGACAGCAAAAGCAGAAGTCTTAAAGATATTATTTCCAGTAGTAAAGATTTTTCTAAAGTTTTGACCTTCTGGATCACAAATGATACATTTCTTTTCTAAAGATGTTATCGAAATGCAATCTTATTTTAGACTGTTAATATACATGTTTTTAAAGCAACAAGATTCAGGTGGTCTTAATCATTTTTTTCAACTTTACGAAGATGTTACTAGAACCCTAGAAACCATTTAAGATCTTATTTTAGCTATTTGATAAATACTTATATTACTGCCCTTGGCTAGGTTTGTTGTGTCTCATATTACAACCTAAAGTAACTCTGCTAGTGTGAGCTCTGAAACTACCTGAGACAATGGGCTACCTGAGACTGTGTAAAGTTAGAATTTCCCCTAAGGGTAATTCTTTCATGACTACTCCCATCTCAACTTCTTCCACCACTATCATAACATCACAGATTTTAATAAGTCTTCACCATTTTGTGTTGTTGGTGGTGTGTGCCATTGATCAACTGACTCATAGTGACCCTATGCACAATAGCTCTGAACCTTGCCCTATCTTGAGCCAATCTCACTGTCCTAGAGACACCTATTCTCATTACCCCAATAACTCTGTCAGTCCTTCTCATATGGAATCTTCCTTTCCTGTGCTGTCCCTCCACGCATTCAAGCATGAAGTCCTTCTCCAATGACTTATCCTTCCTGGCATCATGCCCAAAATATGTGAGACAGAGCCTCAAAATCCTTGCCTCCAAGGAGAACCTTCTCCAGGCCAGGCCTATTTTCTTGGAAGTACATAATATATTTAATACTCTCCTCACTATTTTCGTCTGACATACTTTGGACATGTTGCCAGGAGGGACGGGTCCTTGGAGAGGGACATCATGCTTGGGAGGGTGGAGGGACAGCGCAGGAGGGGAAGACCCTCTCTGAGATGGATTGATTCGGTGACTGGGGTAATCGGGATGGTGTGTCAGAGGCGGTGCGGTTGGCACAGGATAGAGCAGGGTTTAGGGCTGTTGTGCATAGGGTCGCTATGAGTCGAAAACGACTCGACGGCACACAACAACAACAACAACAACAACAACTCCTCACTATTATACCCATAGCAAATAAAGGATGTTTGGGACCATCACACAGATACTAATATGGAAAGAGAGTACAGGAAAGGGGAATGGGATTGAAATGGTTCTGTTCCCTGCAGGATAACAGCTTCAGTGAAGAACATAGGTGACTTTTGGGCTGTTTAGGATTTTGTGACTCCAAAGTAGGAACAGATACTTAATTCACAGAAATAGCTTATAATACTAAACACAGCCACCAATTTATTATTTGGCATTCATTCTAGAATCTGGCAATATATTAGCCTTTAACTTACAATGTTATTACAACTTTGGCATCCTCTTTGTACTTTCAGTCATTTTTCTACTGAAAAGAGGTGATTCAGTCACTGTGTAAATTCTCCTCTTTTTTCACATAGATTTCTTTGTTATACATCTATAGTTGTACTCTCTCTTTTTATTCTACCAGCTAAGCTATTCTTTCTCATTTGCTTTTATTCCATTCTCTTCCTGCCCCTGAAGTGCTTGCCTCTTTTAAGGCTTTAATCTTAAACTTTATTTCAAACTATATATTTTTTTGGAGTTATTTAATTCATGACTTTAACTGCCGTGCATACATCCACAGTGCTGACATTTTTAGATGATCTCAATTAGAGGATTGAAAGCCTCTTTTTTAGTATTTCTCTATAAAAAAGGCACAAGTACAATTACTAGTCTGCTATGTAAAGAACTTGGAGGTTGCCACTCTCCTGCTCAAAAGAAGAAAAAAGCTGGAAAATGCAACTCTCTTGAGATCTGTTAGAGAGCTGAAGTAACAGAGCAAACTACTGTCCTTTTACATGGAAAGATGGGAAGACATGATGAATCACAATTTACCAAGTGCAGTATTCAGAAGCAAATACCTAGAGAGTAAGAGTCAAAAGTGAGTAGCTGCTTCATCAACAAAAATAGTCAACTCATTGCTGTCAAGTTAGAGCTGATTCATAGCTGACCCTCCAGTGGGTTTTACGAGGTCATAAATCTCATCTTCTGTAGAGCAGCTGGTGAATTTGAACCATGGTTTCAGCAGACATTGAATAAAGCAAGTTGTTGATGAGTGTTCCTCTTATCCTGATGCCACACTCTTCATAAATACCAGTTTCTTGAATGATTTTCTCAGCATAGACCCTGAATAGGTAATTGATAAAAGAGCCGTGATGTATTCCTGAATCCAAACCATGCAGTGTTCCCTTGCTCTGTTCAGATAACAGGTTCTTGGTCTGGGTGTAAGTTTTGCATAAATATGATCAAATGTTCTGGAATTTCCATTATTGTCTATACTAGTCATACGTTATTATGATTCACACAATAAAATGCCTTTGCACAGTTAATGAAACACAAATTGTCATTCTTTTGGTATTTGCTGCTTTCAGCCAGGATCCATTTGACATTAGCAATGATATCCCTGGTTCCTCAACCTTATCTAAACCCAACTTAAGCTTCTGGCAATTGTCTGTCAATGTAATGTTCCAGCTGTTTTTGAATGATCTTCAACAATGTTTTGCTTGCATGTAATATTAATGATATTATTCTATAATCTTCACACTTGTTGGGTCAGTAACCTTTCTTTAGAATGAGAACAAATGTGGAATCTCTTCCAGTATTTTGGTTAGGTCGCTGTCTTCCAAACTTCCTGTTGCAGACTGGTGAGCATGTCCAGAGGTACATCTGTTAGTTGGAACATGTTACTTGGTATCCCATCAATTCCTGAGACCTAAATTTTTGCCATTGCCTTAAATGCAGCTTTAGTTTCCTCCTTCATTATGCTATGCAGATGACACAACCTTGCTTGCTGGAAGTGAGGAGGGCTTGAGATGCTTGCTACAGAGGGTTAAGGACTACATACAGCCTTCAGTGTGGATTACATCTCAACATCCAAAAAACAAAAAGCATACCACTAGGCTAATGGAAAACTTCATGCTAGATGAAGAGAAAATTGAAATTGTCAACAATTTTATCTTACTTGCATCCATAATCAACACCTTTGCAGCAATACCCAGGAAACCTGGAGACATATAGCATTGATAAAGTCTGCTGTCAGGGACTTCCTCAAAGCCAGGAAGAGCTTCAATGTCAGTCTAAAGCTAAGGTGCACCTGATTAAAGCCATCATTTTTCCACTCACTTGCTGTACCCCGGAAAGATAGATGATGAGTAGGGATGACAAGAGATGAATCTATATCTTTGAATGATGATGCTGAATATCCCTTGCACAAACAAATATGTCTTGGAGAAGGTGAAACTACAATGCTCTTTGAAGACAA